ACATAGATCTTGGCCCAGATCAGAAGCAGGGACCTCAGGAAGTGCCCAGGGGCTTCCCCTTGTTCCCCGGTGCAGGGCCACATGTTACTGATCATTGCTGTGACCCAGTGGGCTTCTGGCCAGGCCTGGAAACCCTCTTTGAGGAGAGCTGTAGAGCTGTGTAGTAAGGGTTTGTGGTTTTCCTCCAATGAGGGCGTGGCCAGGCGGTACTGTTCCCAGTGGCCCACTGTGTGCCTTTGGGTGACGAGACCTTGGCAACACATGCGTTGGCATCGTAGCCAGCTCAGCGGGGATCTCTGCAAAAGCCATCTGGATTGGACCTTCTGGCAAGCAGTGGCCCAGTGTCCTGCGCTGGGTGCTTGGCTCTTGGCTTTGGAGACATCTCCAGCCTTTTCTCTGAGCTCCCGAGAGTAGCAACAAACAGCTCTAGGACCCTCGGGCAGGCCTGTGCCTGGTGATTACCATGGTGGGCTGCAGCTTTTGTTTTGTGACCTTGGTTGCTACAATACCTGCGAGCTGAAATGAGGAATCAAAAAATTGCCAGCTTCAATTAGAGCAGCGGATGGCTTTTTCAAGGCCGCCTCGGCCTCTTTCCATTAATGGTAAACATACGCCCAGTAGGCCCTAATTCTCTCTAATTGCCCACTCCTGAAGCAAAGAGGTGAAATTCCAGGAAGAGGCACATGTAAACATCCCCTGTAACCCGACCGCTGAAATGGGAGGGCTGGTGGGGGCCCGGGCAGCAGAGGGACGTGATTTCAAAAGATGTCCCAATTACCTCTCCCATTTTCATAAATGGGCCTGTAATGTCCAGGGCCCGGGCCTTACAAAGGTACAGGAAATCAGCTCGGCAGAGCGCTTACATTCGTTGGGGGAGGTTCAGAGAGGGCAGTATTTACTCAACAGGTAGGAAGTATGAGATCGACAGCGGGGCTGATTATTTGTGTAACTACCGGCTCTATTTCTTGAAGTAAACATTTTAATAAAAATAATCCTTTGACGTTTCTCTCTGTTTTGAAACATCCATGTGATATTTGTACCAAAGGCAGACTGGATCAATCAGGGCCTGTTTACTGCTGGAAGAGTAACTTTTCCAGTCTGTAAAGGCAGGGCTCGAGTGCTCTGACCCTGCAGGCCCCGAAGGCTGGCTTTGGTGTGCCTACACCACCTCCTGCGTGGGTCCCGAGCGCCATGCGTGCACATTTGCAGGTCTTGCGATAACGAGCTCGTGACCCCGACTCCTCTGGACTTTCAGAGCTTGAGGTTTCTCTTAGCTCCAGACAGCGACTCTGTAGTTTTCCTGACATTTGTTAAGATTCCAACCCTGCAGACCGGGAGGTGAACACGCATCTCTCGAACCAAGGCATAGCTTTGGGGGACCGTGTCCCTGCAGAGCAGCCTGGGGTCCACATTCAGAGTTGGTTAAAACTAGGGTCCATGGGATGGGTCCCAGGAGCAGAGGCAAGAACAAACCCAGGCACCCCGAGCTGCTGCCCATGTCCTGCTCCTATTAAAAAAGAATGGGGGGGCCGGGGAGATGGCTCAGTAGACTAAGCGCTTCCCTACCAAGTGCAAGGGCCTGAGTTCAATCCCCGGTTCCGCAAATAAATAAATAAATAAATAAATAAATAAAATTAAATAAAACAAATAAAATAAAAAAGAAATGGAACAAAACAGAAGCAACTAAGCAGAGGGCCAGCTCTTCATCCTGCAGGAGATGGCAGGACTTGACTCTTGCTTCACTCTAGAGGGCTGCGTCACCCTCACTGTGCAGGGGCTTCTGAGGTGGGCCACACTGTCTTGATAGTGTTCTGTGCAGTCTTTGAGGTCCAGGGATGCAGAGAACCAAGCTGGCTGCTGCCACGTGGATGCTCCTTCTCCGGAGCGCTTGTTGTTCTGTGGTATTGCGTTGACCCGTGAGGGAAAAGTGTGTGGGGGACGCACTGGGCCAAGGAAAGGGTTTGTGGGAGGATTTAGAAGCCGGGGGGGGGGTCCCACCTGTGCCCTGGGGGGATGCCCCAGCTGGGTATGGAGAGAAAAAAGTGGTCACTGCAGGGCCAGCAGGACAGGTCTCTGAAGGACTTGTGGCTGTGTGCTGCCCCAGTGCAGTGCCATCACACGGCCCCTCGGTGCCTCTGCTTGTGCTCGGGAGGCTCAGGGACCTCCCCGCAGGCCCCAGACCTCTTGTCTCCACGTGTGTCTCAGAACAGTTTCCAAAAGGGCGCTGCTCCCCAGTTCTCTGCCTGTACAGAACCTACTTTGTTTTTTATTTTTTTATTTTATGTATTTATTTATATTTTGGCAGAACCGGGGATTGAACTCAGGCCCTTGTGCTTGCCAGAGAAGCACTTATTCCACTGAGCCATCTCCCCCGCCCCTCACTTTGTTTTTTATTTTTGTCAGAACCAGGGATTGAACTCAGGCGCTTGTGCTTGCCAGGCAAGCACTTATTCTACTGAGCCATCTCCCCGGCCCCCAAACTTTGTGGGTTTTTTAGAAATTATTTTTTAAATTTTTTGATGGAACCAGGGATTGAACTCAGACCCTTGCGCTTGCCAGGGAGGCACTTATTCCACTGAGCCATCTCCCTGGACACTTTTTATTATTTAAAAGTTTTCACAACACCGGCTGTGGCAGGGCACCCCTATAATCCCAGCTCTTGGGAGGTTGAGGCAGGAGGATCTGTATAAGTTTGAGACCACCCTGAGTTACATAGTGAGATGCTATTTGTTATTGTTTGGTCATTTGGAGACAGGGTCTCACTATGCAGCTCAGGCTGGCCTTGAGCCACTGTAGCCAGGCAGGTTTCCACAATGATTCGCCATGGGCCTGGGAGATGGCTTAGTAGAATAAGAGCTTGCCTGGCAAGTGCAAGGTCCTGAGTTCAATCCCTGGTACCACACACACAAAAAAAGACAATGATCCTCCTGCCCTCAGCCTCCCCAGTGATGGGATTACAGGCATGTGCCACCATGCCCAGCCCCACACCGTATATTTTGACCCTGTCCATCCCCCTTCACACACTCCTTAACCCACCTTTGCCCTTGCTTTCATTCCTTTCCTCTATCTACTAATAATTTTTTTTCAAGTCTTTCTAAAACTTTCCCTTCATCGGAGAAAACATGAAGGCTGTCCTTCGGGGTCTGGCTTATTTGCGCACCATGGTCGTGTGCGGTCCTGCCCATCTTCCTGCAGACAGCTCTGTTGCTCTTCATGGCCTAGTAATGCTCCACAGTGCACGTTGCACTCCCTCTATCTGCTTACTGCGGATGGGTGCCTGTGCTGCCTGCAGACCTTGATGGTGCCACGCCAGCCCCGGGAAAGTGGGTGTCCCAGAGGGACCACCTTGGTGTTTTCAGGGCCTACGCTGAGTCACGGCAAGGTAGAGCCGGGGCGTGCAGTGGTTCTGTTTGTCTTTTGGAGACCTTTGATGGTGCTGTCCACGAGGGTGGCACTGAATCGCACTCCCACCTGCAGTGCAGAAGGGACCTTCCTCCCCACATCCTCACCAGGATTTATTGCTTTTTTGTAGTTTCCATGGTAGCCACTGTGGCCTGGATGAGCTGGAAGGACTCAGTGCAGTTGTGGTTGTCATTTGCATGTCCTGGCTGGCTGAAGATGTTGAACAGTTTCTCCCATGCCTTGGCCATTTGTGGCTCTTTTCTGAGAAGCGACAGATTTCCCTGGCTTCCACTCACTCATCTTTAGCTTTGCCAGACTAGTAATAGATTATTTTTCTATTTTCTTTTAGTTTTAATTTCTGCATTGATGCCTGTAAATTGCTTGTGGTGGGGAACTTTATATGCTAGTGTGGAGAACTCCTTAGGAAATGACTGATTCTCAGAGGTGCCGTCCACATGCAGCTGGCTTTGGCTTCTGAGTCTGTTGTAAGGCCCTACCTCTTCCATCCATTGGGGATGTGACCTGCAGCATTGTTCATGACCCTCGTGTCATCCTGGTCTTGGTGTAGAAGGAAGAAGAACAGATCATAGCGTTGACGTCACCTTTGCTGAAGTAGTACAATCAGTAAGAACAAGGGCAACGAGTAGTCGTGGGGGTGGGGGTCTGTGATCCTAGCACTTGGAGGCCGAGGCAGGATGATCGCCGTGCATTCCAGATGAGCCTGGGCTACACAGCGAGCTCACAGCCAGCCTGGGCTACACAGCAAGCCCCTGTCTCACCCATCCTCCAACTTAAAGGCCTCTTTCCTTCTAAGTTTGCGGTGTAGGAAGTATTTAGAAAAGTACACAGAGCCTTCCTATGTACCCGACCCCTGCCCCTGCCTGGTCCCCTCTGGAGGAGATCTTGCCTTCATGGGGAGTGTTGCCACCTATGAGATGGCCCTTGGGCAGGGCTCCCACCTAGGTTGTGCCGGCAGGACCTCACCCGGGCTCAGGGCTGCCACAGCTGTGCCTTCTGTGGGTTTCACACTCACCTGCTTGATCTTATCCGTGATGTCCAGGGTGTGAGGAAGTGGCCCAGAGGCAGGGATTGCCAGGCCTGGTCGTCATGCCTCCCGGTGCCTTTGCAGGATGTCCACACAGTGACCTGCGGCTCAGGATGTGTGCTCCTGGGGTAGCCCACAGTACCCAGTAAAAACCACAACCCTGGCACTGCCCCAGACTGTCCCACTGGTGCTCTTCACTCCCTGGTACCTGTGGGCCGCTGCCCACCGTGCCTCCTGCTGAGCCTTGCTGTGCCCTTGGCTCCTACCGCGATGCAGCAGACCCCCTGCCTTCAAGGTGACAGCTTCCAGGGAGTGGGTCCCGGTCCCAGGTGCCAGCCTGGCCCTCACCTGTGCGTGCAGCCTCTACCCTTTGGCTTCCACTGAGCCAAGGGTTGGGAGCCCATGAGCACAGCCAAGGGATGTGCCCGGCATCGCAGACTTCTCCTCTTGGCTTCGGGCTCTGGTGCCCATTGCAGAGCGCTTGCCTTGGCCCCTGGCCTCCTCATCAGCTGGCTGGGGTTCCGTTTTGTGACCTCCTGCTCTTTCCTTGCAGCAGAATCCACCGGCGCCGGGAACCCTGCGAGGGACAGGACCACAGACACCGACTCAGCACCCCAGTGCTCCCCCAGCTCTGACTTGTAAGTCGCCAGAGTACAGTGAGCACACTTGTGGCTGACAAAGGGTGCTGTCACCCCCACCCCAGCGTGCACACTGCCAGGTGGGGCGGGGCGCGGGGCCAGCGAGCCAGGCAGGCGCCGGTCTGAGGCTCGAGCTCTAAAGATGGGAGCCTGAGCCCCTCGTGCTGCTGCCTCTGTGGGCAAAGAACTCCATAGGCAGCTTCGAGTGTGAGACCCCAAAAGGATTTCTCTTTTTCACTCTTAATGAATGGCTCTTTCATGATTGCATCTCCTCTGGCTCTCGTGCCGCAGGGCAGACAGGGCTGCAAGGACCCGGGCTTCGGGCTCCGTGACCTGCGCTCACCCCCTGGAAATGTCTGGAAAACATAATGGGCAGGTTTTCTGTCTTCAAAGTTTCCGGCTAAACTTCTTCAAGTTCTCTATTGTTTGGGACTGGGACACTCAGGGATGGTAATGGGGAGCGTCTTTTGTATTTGCCTTGAAAGGCCAAAATATTTTTATATTGCTACAGACAAAGCCATCTATTTACAAATGAACCGTGTCCGTCGTTTCCCACTGGGAAGGCTATGTACTGTGTGTGTCTCGATGTATTCTGGGGTCTTGAAATGGGCTTCTCATGGGGATGACCATTTACCAGGGTCCAGGGAGCAGAGGGAGAATGCCCTGCCCTGCCAAGGGATGGGGTTGGCTGGGGCCCCTCCTCTCTGATCCCCCCGGGCTGTCTGGGATGGGAGCCTGGGAGCAAAGGAACTTTCGCTGTCTCCCACCTCAGCCCTGTGTGTGCTTCAGGGCTGTGGGTCTGTGCACCTTGGGGACAACCACTGGGGAGAGAGCAGGAAGTGCTAGGACATAGTGAGGTTGTGGTTTGATTGCTGGCAGGCTGCTTCCCTGGTGTAGTGAATGATGAGGTGAATGAGCAGAACAGGAGGGACTGAGGGTGGCGGCTGCCGCCTTGCACGAGGGCGCATGCTGACTGCGCGCTCTGCGACGCACCGAGGACTGACAGATCAGTACGGTTTTCCGCGAGTGCACAGGGCCCTACACACTGCTGTATGCCATCACATGTGAGGGACAGGGTGTCATTCCAATACAGGCTTGTTGGTCAGAGAATAAAGTCAAAATTTCTTAAGAAATGAGAAGTGGAAATACATAAACCAAGGCTGGCTTTTTCTTAAAGCACCGGGGACTGAAGCCAGGGCTTAACCCAGGTCTGTTACTAAGCTGTACCGCTAGCCGCCTGTTCAGACATTCTGAGGCCCGCTGAAGGAAGAAAATAAAAGCGGGGCGGGGGGAATGACATGAAAGGGAGGAGGAAGAGGAAAAGAAGCAGAACAAAGTAGAGGAATAAGGCAAAAGCAAGTCTAGGGAGAAAGACGCGAGGGAGCCTGTGACTAGGCAGGTGACTGCATCAGGCAGGCGCTGACTGGAGCCAGTTGCTCTTGCTCCTGGCATAGAAAAGTGACAACGGCTCAAAGAAGAAAAGATGCAGTGGGCTACAGGTGCGAGTGTGCCTTTTAACCAAGGTGACCTAAGTGGGGCATCCAAAGTTTTCACATAAATAAAAGCCAAAGTGAAAAGAAAGAAAGGGAAAGCAGTCTAGGTGGACAAATGCCTGAGTGGTGAGGACTCGTATGTCCAGGAGCCAGGTGCGAGGTGGCTGGGCAGATGCTGAGACACTGAGGTGTGCTCTGTCTTGGGAACAGAGATCTTTGCGGTGAAAGGACTTGTAAGAAGGAGAGAAAAATCAAATAGAAAAATCACAAAAGGTAATGAGTGTCAAGTGCAGAAATACATTAATGGGTGAATAAATGAAGACAGAGGATAGGGAGGCAGTGGCGGGAGACCCTCCTGAGTGCCAGCCCATGGTGCAGCTACTTCTAAAAGCCTCCACTCAGAGGATAACATAAGAAAGGAAAAAGCCAGAAAGCATCTAAGGAAACAAAGAGAGGAGGAGGCGAGGCGTGGGTCCCAGGGAGGGTGTCCGGGGTGTGATTAGTCCCATCTGTGCAGCCAGCGCTGTGAAAATAAGGCCAGACAGGGGAGAGACAAGAGTTACGGAGTGCTGCAGGGAGAGAAGGGAGCAGGGAAGAGCAGCTAGAGGTTATGTGGCTAGACCTGTAAGAGGCTGGGCTAGGCTAGAGGCCACTGGAAGGGAAGGACAGCGGGGAGGATGCGCAGGAGTGAGGGACTTGTGAGTGGCTGAGTGGCTGCAGGGGGCAAGAACGGTGCCTGCCCGTGGTGGGGAGGCTTCTGGCCATGGTAGCTGAGTGCCAGAGAATGAGAGTGCCATTGGCTTTGGAAGGAGAAACGGTGACAAGTGGAGAGGAATGTAGAGTAGGGAAAACCAAGAAAGGTGACAGATTAGCGATACGTTGATGAGTGCAGACACGAAAGAGAGAGAGAGAGAGAGAAAGAGAGAGAGAGAGTCCCAGGAGAGGGGCCGTGTACTTAGCTCACCTCTATGCTGCTGGACTGGACTGTACCCAACCAGCCAGGAAGTGGCTGGCGCCAGGGAGGACTTCGCAACGGTCAGGGGCACAGACTGCACACCGGGAGGTGCCCACTTAGGTGCACCTGCTGTCTATAGTGTGGAAACAAGGATTTAGGTAGAAAGAAAGGCTGGATGCACGAATGCATGAATGAAAGCAAGAGACAAAGACTTGCATTCAGCATTCAGCGGTGGGACTCCCCTGAGCCCGGGTGCTGGGCTGCAGGAGAAAAGGGGAAGGCAGCGGTAGAGGAACGATACGATGGGAAAGGGTGGCAGCAGGATGAAAAGAAAGGGCAGAGACAGTAAGGGATACAGCAAGGCCAATGAGAAGGGGCTGGCGCAGCACGCGGCATCCCTGTGCCTTCAGTCAGGCCCGGGACTGGGGTACAGTGTGGCCGTTCAGCACCTGGCGCATGTGCTGGGCCCTGGCTTCTGCCCACCGCCACACAGCAAGCAAACAAAAAGTGGGCCTGAAGACCATAGAGAATAGAAATAGGTGCGGGTGAAAGGGGCTGGGAGGCACGGAGGGAAGGAGCGTGGGACAGCTAGAAGGAAAGCGCTCTGGGAGAAGTACGGAAAGGTTAAATATTATTAAATGTAACAGTGGCTTTGCAATCAAAGGACAAACGTTACAAGGGAAGACTAACTCAGGGAGGAGCCATAAGTGCATGCAGAATGGTGTTTTTATCCATTCCCTTCTGCACTCGAGTCTTGGTAGAAGGCAAAGGGAAAGCTAGGACTGGAGAGAGGCAGAGGGGTGGAAGACTGGCCAGACAGACCTAGGCAGCGGAAGCCGATTGAATGCATAAACGCGCCCATAAGTACGCAGAGCGAGGGCCATACAGGGACAGAAGGAGAAGGGAGCAAGGACTAGGACTAATAAAACTGGGCCACGAAGATGGCGAACCAAATACTCAGCTGAAGCAGCAGTAGAAGAAGCTAAGGGACAAAGGAGAGCCCATGTGGGCCAGGGTTGGGATGGCACTGGGAACCCCAGATTATGGTTAATCCAATTCTGTGCACCTGAGGTCCATAAAGAAAAGAACAAATGTTGAAATCAAAGGGTGGCAGAAAGAGCAAATGGATAAGTGAAAGACTGAATTAGAAATGGAAATGGTGGGGGCACCAGGGTGGAATGGCCCACGGGAATCCCCTCATCTCATCCTGGGCAGCTGAGGTCCCTGGGAGTGGAGAGGTAAGAAAAGAACTGCCAGAGTGAAAGGAAGAGAACAGGAGAAAGAAGTGAACTTGAATGAAAGAGAAAGAGGAAAAAACAGTAAGCCAGATCCAGGAATAGCATTGAGGCCACTTGAATCCTAAAGATGGATCGGGGCCTCCAGACCCGGGTGCCTAAGGGAGGTAGGGAGAGGGGTGGGGTTGATGAGAAGCCCATGAAGACTGAGAATGAATAGTAGACAGCTAGCCACAGGGAGCTGTGGAAAATTAAGAGCTGTCTGAGGAAGGACTAAAATGAGTTTGCACATGTCCTTAAATAGGTGAATGCGTTCTGTCCTTCAGAGTCAGTGAGACAGGAACACACCAGGTCCCTACACGAGGCTGCATCTTCCACGACTGTAACACCATATGTACATTTAGGGTCTATGGATGAAAGGACAAACCAAGAGGTGCCTATGGGCAGGAGGGAGTTGGCAGATGACAGATCTGTCCTGTAGGGGGAGTCAGCTTTGCTCCTGGAATTGGGGCCCACGCAGCTGTGTTTCCAGGAGCGAGCAGGTGAGAAATCCCCAGATGACAGTGTGAGTGGGTTAGGGACTGACCAACGAGAAGTGGTGTTTTGGGGTGGAGCAGGAGGAAGGGTGTGGGTTCCAGCCCAGTTGCATGCAGCTCTGGGTCCCTGAGATTGTAAAATAGACAAGAAATAAGGAGGAGTAAGGGGAGCAACCAAGGCAGGGTTTTCAAGGAAGGAATAAAAATGACATGGATAGAAGAGCAGGCTGTGACCAGCTTACAGTGGGGCTGTGGATGAATGTAGCAGGCTGTGGTAGGAAAGAAGAAGGGAAAGAGGGATGGAAGCTCCTGTTGTGGGCCGTGTTACCCCTTCTGAGCCTTAGATAGATACCAGCTCACCCTTGCCTAGGACAATGCCCAGCCCATCCACAGTTCTGACCTGAAGGGCAGCCAGGGCTCAGCCTGGGCTCTGCAGAAGTTGCCTGACCAAGGGAGTGTTGAATCCAGTGGGCGTCTTGGTCCCCTCCCTGGGCTAGGGTCACCCAGGTGCACACCTTCAGGGGACATTGCCCTCCAGGAGGCAGCAGTGGGCTGGGGGTGCAGAAAGCCCAGTGAGTATCATCCAGGGGCTGGTGTAGGGCAGAGGGACAGGGGTCAGGAGCACCATAGAAGGGTGACCCGGGAGCCCAGGGACTCAGGAGCACTGGGAAAAGCACCAGGAACCTTGTTCTGGCAGCTCTGAAATGTGCCCAGGCAGGGTGCTGCTCTTCTCAATTTGTAGGTCCCTGGGTGGGTTCATCTGAAGGCCACTTAAGCAACA